CCTTTTCTTTGCCCATACAGAGTCTACGACTTCACACTATGCACCAGGCGTTTTTTGTAACTCACGCAACTGTGTTCATAAAACGAGTCGTATCGTATTTTGTCTAACCAAACGAAAACTAAACATAAACTACTTTGTTTGCAATGTTTAGGACTTGAATGTCGTTGGATGAGAGTCGAAGCACAACGCCAGTACTTTGCCCCGGTGATTCGCCGTCTCCTGCACCATCTTCTTCACAGCCCGACAGTCAGGGCACCTGTAGTAATGGGTGAGTCATATTGAGATATGCGACTTGATGGACGAAGACATTCCTGTTCCGTTGAGTAATTTTTGTATTTTGTATAAAAATAAATTTTATATTTTATATAAAAATTTCACTTCAATACAAATTCCACTGCTTTGTAACTTGAAATTGTGTTGTTATCCCCAGTCAGAGCTAATTCAGCCTGGGGATGAAAAATAGATATAATTTAAGCATTTTACATCCCACATACCGGCAGTGATGGCGCACAGAAAGTAGCAGTGTTTCCCTTCATACAGTAGTAATTCGAAAGTTCGACTTAGAACAAACAGCCGGTCCTTCTAGGATTCCTTCCTTCGCTTTGGTGGTAAATTGGTATTGTTTGCTAAGAAGTCAAACCCATTATGCGCTTCTTTTTAAGCATTTTGCGAAAGGGAGAATCATCGATGGCCTTGCTAGCGGATAGTTATTTTTGGCGTTTTCTTCTTAGCTATCATCTGTGGGAACTGCTTCTACCACAGCGGATACGAAAAAGTTCTGACATCTCAGATGTGACCAAATAAATCTGCAATTCCGTCTGTTTCACATGTTCCATTTCAAATTTTCTTCAAGTATGCATAAAGACTGTCGAAATTATGTAAAAAAGCCAAACTTAAGTGAGAAAACGAGCAGTACTAATTGCAGCAGTCATACTGTAGTCTTTAATGATGAAATTTTTAAATAAATAAGATACATCCCGGTTAAATCACTAAGACGAAGCACCCACATTCGGGCGATAATCCAAACGATATTGATATAATCCCAAAAAATGTCTGTAGTAAATACTACCCCATTATTTGGAATCCACGCAAGACTAACTGTTTTGCAGATACCAAAGCGCTATCAGCGAAAATAGTAGAGTTGAAAGTCCATCTCATGCTACTAACTTGCCGAGCAACATCTATATGCATCGGATCCAGTCAGCTTCACCCGCAGGTAGCCGTCTTATGTTTAATTCTTTGAGATTCACTGTTCAATCACGGTTCTTTATAAACGCTACTCAAAAGTCAAAATGCACTCACTCACTCACTCACTCACTCACTCACTCACTCACTCACTCACTCACTCACTCACTCACTCA